AAAACTTCAAAAAAGGATAGGTAAAAATATCCTACAAAAGGTGGCACCTAAAATCGTGTTAAATATAGAAAGTCTGTATTCTTTAAAATCCTTCCAAACAAGTGGTCCCTCTGGTGGCCATTCTCTCACGGCAGGGGAGAGAATGGCCACCATTGACCTCTCCCTGGAGGTTGGAAGGTGGCTGTGCTGGAGCCTAGCGCCTCCTCTGAGCACAGCTTCATGCTACAGTTCAAGTTCGTCATTTCCCTGGCTGCTCACAAATGCCCCACGGGATGACTGCTTCTCCACTTGACAGCACTAGCCACACAGAGAGAGTCATTCACTTGTTCAGGATCAACTACTTACTGTAAAGTTTCACGCCTAGGACTCAAGCCTGGTCTAACTTCAGAACTGCTCCTCTTGGCCACCATTCCTGAAGGGAAGCAATGTCTCTGGGGTACTATCTTTGCAGGCCCTGGCAACCACAGAGTTACAATTTGTTGGTTATGAGAAGAGTTCCTTTATCAGAACTCTTCTCCCATTGGAGTTACTTTAAATGTTACATTAAAAACAACAATAAAGAAAATCAAAAATGCTGGAAAAGAAAGGCCAGAAGCTGTTGAGAAATGCCAGTACACTATGGTCTTTTTATGGTCTTTGTCCATTCTTCATACATAATTACATGTATTCATAAAGCCTACTTTAAATAACTAGTTACTGCTGAAAAGCTAAGTATTATCAAATGATTAGTTTTCTCAGAAACGTTCAAAGATTTATTTTCATTTCCACCTCCGCATTCTAGGTACCAATTTAAGCATTTTCCAAGCCGTATTCCAAAAACTGTGAACCTATACACACACACATGCACACTTGCCACATATATGCATACATGTCAGCATGAGCACACACATGCACATGTGCATACACACACACACACACACACACACACACACACATACACATACACAGTACACATCTGTCTTCTTACAAACCATCAACATATGAGCCTACACAGAAGGAATTCAGAGGCATGAAAATGCTCCCAGGGCTAGGAAAATGGCTCAGTCAGTAAAATGCCTGCCAGGCAAGCAAGGGAACCTGAGTTCAGGTCCTCAGAACAGTGGAAAAGCTGGATGCCACATGCCTATATTCCAAGGGCTGGGGAGGCAGAGGCAGGAGGACCCTTGCGACTCCATGGCCAACCAACATAGTAAGCAAGTAAGAAACACTATCACCCAAAATAGGGTTGAGAGCAACTGAAGAAGACACTGGACATCAATCAGTCTCTGCCCTCCACATGCACACACCTGTACACACAAGCCCTGCACACAGACACATCAAACAGAGAAAGAGAGAGACTGACACACTATGAGGCCATTGAAGAAGACATTATTGTGGAACATAATTGAAACAATTAAGCTTTCTTTTTTTAAAAAAAAATACCATTGAAATAAAAGGTTTACTAGCAATAAAAATTATTGGAAAATACTGGAAAGTACAAGGAAAGATTATGGGGTAAATTCCTTCTAATCTCATCCCATAAAGGTACCGCTGCTGGCGCACTGATCCGCAGGCATTTTCCTGCAGCCTGCAGCCTGCACCCCGCAGCCCTGGAGAAAGTTACACAGCACCATTCAATGTGTATGATGCCTCTCCTAAACACGGCTTTAATTGCTGCCCAGCAGCCCATTCTGCCATAATTGTCTTAACCTTGCTTCCATCTAAGGGTTTTGGATAATTAGATGGGAAACAAAGATTTAAGTGGAAAGAAGTGTCTAGAAGAGGAATGGGGTAGTTACAGGAAATTAAAACACCAAACAACATATATCATAGATATTTTAACTCAGGTTGTAAAAAAATTATCACACTGATTTTCTCAGTGACATAAAATTACAATGAGAATACTTACTTTTTAATATAATATTTAAGTTATGCTTAGAGTTTCATATGTGCATATAATGGTTTTGGATCCTATCCACCACCTTTCCACCTATAACCCGTCAATCCTTTCCTGCTAGTTCATGATGCTGATACACTGATTAGTTGGGGCCATCCACTGGAGCATGGTCTACCTACAAGGGGCCATAGGCTTAGAGAACACCGACTCTCAAACTCCCAGATGCCACCAGCTCTTCACCGTTCCTCAGTTAGGAGCTAGGCTGGTGAGCCTCTGCCTCCATTGTGCTGGAAGGCTGAGTGGCTTGATGGTGTGATTCAGCCACAGTTGCCATGAGTTCATGAATGAGGCAGCCCTGTCATGTCCGGAAGACATTGTTTCTCTCCAGTCCTCTCCAACTTCTGTCTCTTACAGTCTTTCTGTCCCCTCTTTCGAGACAGTGCCTACCCTTGGGGGCGGGCCTGTCATGTAGATTGGCATCATTCTCATTTAGTAATCAGAAAAATTAACCTGATTTTCTATTGTATCTTCATTTCAAGAATAAGGAAAATGACATCCAGAGAGCTAAATGCACTTGGCAGACAGTCACACATGGAGTAAGGAGTTCACCCTATGTCTGTTGGAAGGCAATGCTGTTTTCCTAATTAATATATATGTATATCACAAGATAATTAACTTTTGAATGTGTCCTGGTGATATCATTAGAAGGCTGTCATTAAAATGGAAATAAATTCCAAACAATAATTTACTTTTAGTGTGTATTAATAGCTTTTCAAATGCTGTTTATGGTGCAAAGACACCATGACCAAGACAACTTATAGAAGAGTTTATTTGGAGCTTAAGGTTTCAGAGGGTGAGAGTCCATGACCATCATGGCAAGAAGCATGGCAGCAGGCAAGTAGGCATGGTACCTGAGAGGAAGCTGAGAGCTCACATCTTGATCCACAAGCATGAGGCAGGAGAGCTAACTGGGATTGAGGTGGGCTTTTTGAAATCTCAAAGAGTCCAACTCCCCCCTCTCCCTGCCTGCAGTGACACACCTCCTCCAACAAGATCACACCTCCTAACTCTTCCAATTGGGAACCGAGAATACGAGCCAATAGGGACCAGTCTCCTTCAAACCACTTCTTAGTATAAGCAGATTAACTTGTTACACATCAATTCTGGAAAAATAGTCTACTGAAACCCCAGAAGAGCTAAGGAAATCATCAGTAAATAAAATCCCTTGGTCATGTCTAAAATGCTTAAAATTCAAATATGTTGGAGGTCTTCCTTGACTTTATTAAAAAACGGAGTAGGGAGCTGCGTTAATTGCAGCTATCGCAGTAAAGTCTGGGCTCTGAGACTGACTGGAAATTGATGGCGCTAAAAGTATTCTGTAATTAAGTGAAAACTGTGCTCTGCAGCTTAATTAGTCTGCTGTGACTTAGTTTAAGTGGGAACAGTAAATCCTGCCGAATCTCATTACACAGGAGCCCAGCAGCCCCACCTCACCTAAGTTCTGTTTCCTATGGAGGTAGAATTTAAACACAAACTCCTCTGGTGTGGAACGCAGGAAAGGTGACCCAGGCATGCGCATCTGAAAGCCCTCTATCATTCAGATTAGACAGTGCTTCAAACCCGAAGGACTCTCCAGTGTCTGGCTTCCTAACATTGTGAAGACTCTGGCCTCTCAAACACTGGATGGGGTGATGGGTGTCAGAAAAACATTGTGAAGATTCCCTTAGCAGGCTCTGCTTTTCCACTGCCGACTGACAGAACCTGCATCTTTGAGAAGCCCTTAACGAAAACAGCCCCCTCACCTTTGCTCCAGACTTTTCCTTGCTCTGGCCACCTAAAGAATTCTCTTCCAACTTAATAACATTGAAGCCATCCAGGGCATCTCTCACAGAGAGTTCTGCCTTGGGAGCCCACACTACCTTTCATGAATCAAGAGGGTAAACGACCAGGCTTCCCTGGCAGGATGTGAATAGGAAAATTAAAAGAGAAACAGTCACCCTGCCACAGAAAAGACGAAGGTGCAGAGTCAAGCATGAGCTCCCTTCTATGGCACCAGGAAGCAAAGCTTGACACCCTAGGCTTGATCGCCAAGCAGAAATGAAATCCTATGGCTCCTTCATTGGGACAGTAACTCATGCTCACTTTCCTCTTGGCATGGTACATAGCTTAGGAAAAAGCCAATTCTTCTTGTTTGTGCCCAGGACCACCCAGGTCCCTGGCCAGGCAGCCAAAGAGTGCTGATCCAATTCTTTATATTCTAGGAGCAACGCAGGTCCAGGGATCCCTTCTTAAAATGTCTGCTACAGCAATTGAAACTGTCTTTAAAGGCAGAGGATAGCTCCGTTTAATATACTTTTATTTCACAATGGTAGATAAATAGCATCCATTCAGTGTAAACTGAACTTTGAATCTTGGCCTTTGCCTAGACAGTACATATACTGTAGGGTTTCCTTGCTGTACTGGACAGCACACACTCCCGAGTCCAGCACACAACCACAAGAGTTAATGCCCAGCACTCTGCAGTGGGCTGTGTCATTAAGGCCCAGTGCTCAGTAGGTCACATTCATTAATGTCCGTTTATGGTATCTTCAACTGCTGTGGATTTATTTGCTGACGCCTCCGTCATAAGCTCAGGAACAACTGTGGTGTGTGTTTAGCTGATTCATTGGGATAGATGATGTTAGTGGCTATTTTCCTCCTGGAGAAAATCCTAGCCAGGGTTGGGGATGTGGTTCAGTCAGTAGAGCACTTGCCTAGAATATACAAAACCCTAGGTTTGATCCCTAGCCCTGCATAAACCCATATACTGCACACTTATAATCCCAGCACTTAGGAGTTGGAGGCAGGAGGATCAAAGCTTCAAAGTCGTCCTCAATTACACAGCGAGTTATGACCAGCCCAGAGTACATGAGACCCTTTTCAAAAAAATAAAAAATAAAAAGTCAAGACTGAACCACGTTGAAAAATGGGTACCCTGCAGAAGATCCACCTGCTGCTGGGTGTCACCTACTGAAACCCTTCTCCTCCTCCCATTTGATCTATGAGTCAAATGAATCTCTAGGAACAAACTGGGCAAACACAGTGTGATTTTCAGTCCACTCTCTTGGTTTCTCCTGTCTCTTAGTCAGATACGGAGTTCTGGGATAAGATGCAGGCCGAGTGGGAAGAAATGGCCCGGAGGAACTGGATATCGGAGAACCAAGAAGCCCAGAACCAAGTTACCGTGTCAGCCAGTGAGAAGGTAAATCAGACTGCCCTCACATGCTGGTGGGGGGTCCTCAGACTCATCAGATCACATGTTCTGGACCAGTCAGTAAGTATTTGTGAAAAATCTAAGAATTAAAGGCAGTTTGGTATCAATCTGACCTAGAAAAAACTGTAAAAGATGGAAAACAGTTAACTCTGGTATGTGAGGGTAGCTGGCCTGAAATGAAATGCCCCTGTTTAGTACTGTCCCACAGCTGGTTACCTACCTACCCAAAACCCACAAGGGCTCATCACCAGTCACCTATCCCAGTCATATAAAACCCAGGAGGTGATTCCGAGGCTTCAGGCTACATCTCATGGAGTTACCACACTGTCAGCAAAGACTCTCAGTGAAAAAAAAAATACTCTTCACACAACCAGGTCAAGCCCAAAGGGTTATGCAATGATACTCCACTGCAAAGAGCCCTGGAAAACACAAAAGTGCAGTGAACCACTAGCCAGATTGCCTGTTAAGTCCCAGCAGCTTTGCGATCTCTGCCTTTAAATTCACTTAGTGAGAGGAAGACTCTAGAATTACTACAAGTATCCTGAAAGTCAGAGAAATGGATGTTTCTTCAACAGAAAAAAAATCACATCCATGTATACATATGTTTATATACAGACACATGTACATATACACACACGTTTATCAATAAAAGTTTACCTCATGGTTTAGAGATCTGGAATAAATCTCAATAGTATTCAGTCCTGGGTAATTTTTCAGATATTTACTCAGTACAGCAAATCCTGTGTAGCATGTCCTCTTCACTAGGTGGAGGATGTGACGGTCAATCTAATGTAGGGAGTGACATTGCCATTCAAATATCTCTCTCTTCCCAGTGGTCTCTGTCCCTTAAGAGGTTGGATAATCTCAAAACACAATTATTTTTTTGGAAGTAACTGCCTTTGCTACAAAGTAAATATCCAGTCTAGGTAAGGCAGGGAGATCACCAGGCCCCAGGCTATCACTCACACAGCTGAGACCTGATTCAGCCCATGGCTGCATATGCCAGCAGACCCTCGGCTATTGACACAGTGTCTCACCTTTCTAAGCACCCATGGGAAATGAAAGCCCCCAGTGTTCTATCTAGACCATAGTAACTTCATCACTAGGTATGTTTGTATCCGTCAAAACAAAAGGATTTTCTGAATATTTGTGCCATACATTGAGAATATTATTTGAGAATACAAATAATATTCTCAAATATTGCAGGAGACGGTTTAGCCCCAGAGCAGAGCAGCTACGTTCATATGGCCTAAAAAAAATGTCCGTGGTCTTTGTCTAGTGTGTCGCTTCTTAAAGGCTAGCATAAGATAAGAAGCAAGTGCAGAACAAGCCTGAAGCATGAAGTTTCCATTGTAGTTTTGTTTTAAAAAATAAATAAATAAGCCAGGCAGTGGTGGCACATGCCTTTAATCCCAGCACTCGGGAGGAGGCAGATCACTGTGAATTCGAGGCCAGCCTGGTCTATAAGAGCTAGTTCCAGGACAGGTTCCAAAATACAGAGAAATCCTGTCTTGAAAAACCAAAAGAAAGAAAAGAAGGAAGGGAGAGAGAGAGGGAGGGAGGGAGGGAGGGAGGGAGAGAGAAAGAGAGAGAAGTCTTGAGACAGTTGTTTATTTTGTAGCCCAGGCTGACCTCAAACTCAGGGTGATCCTCCTGCTTGAGCCTTCATTGTTAAGAATTCCAGGAATGAGCCACCCTATTACCCTCGCTTTTTAAATAACCAAAATGCCAATCAATAAGGATTGAGTAAATAAATTTAGCATAGCTACATAAATAATTTTAGTGACATAGGATAACCACGATCCAAAATTAAGTAGGGTATAGGCTAAAGACTGTCTGTGAGCCTTCTCTCTAAGTTGGATATTCATAGAAAATACTAGGTGAGTGCTTGCATATTTTGTGTTAAACAGTTACAAGAGAAAAACATCTATATTTTAAAAAGATGTGTTTTCAGTAGGGGCACCTGTATTGCCCAATGAGGCGGTAAGTGGTCCAGGGATGTGCTGGGTAAGGACTATGATGACATCACATTCTGGCCTCTGTGTCACAGGGCTATTACTTCCACACCGAGAATCCCTTCAAGGACTGGCCTGGAGCATTTGAAGAAGGCTTAAAGAGGCTGAAGGAAGGGGACCTGCCTGTCACCATCCTGTTCATGGAAGCAGCAATTCTTCAGGACCCAGGAGACGCTGAGGTGGGATTCCCCTTCCTCTGTCACACCAGGAAAGTGCCTAAGTGTGCTAAGGCGTCGGAATGAGACAGGATGCTGCAGGGTGCATCTTCACCAAGGTTTACAAAGAAGGTCCCCTGGTTCAAATGCTCTTGTTGGAAAGCTACCCATCACCCACTTTCTAATATTTGAGATCCAGAGTCTTCAAAGATAAAAACTGAGGACAGGAAACACAAACAAAAGTAGCCAACCTGAGCCAGGCATGGTGGTTCACACCTTTAATCTCAACGCTGCAGGGAGGAGCAGAGGCAGGCGGAGCCAGCCTGGTTTACATAGAGAGACCATGTATCCATTTAAAAAATAAATAAATCAAAGATGAACATGAGGTTTGCCCGTGGTTTTTATGGAGGAATATGACTTTTGTCTGGGTCTCAAGTCACATCATATGTTACCCTTGATTTACCCAGCCAACATTTATAGAATATTTACTGGGTTCTTAAAACGGCACTGAGTCCTGGCATAAAATGTTGAAGAACTGGGGAAGTGCGCTATAGTTACAAGGACAGCTTCATGGTGCATCTGCAGAGATGAGTAAATAAAGCAAGGAATGGCAGTTCCGAGTACAGCTGGAGTGTGTGGCAGGTCCTGCCTCTAGGCCACATCCCTATAATTAAGCTTGCTCCCCACAGGGCACCACAGCCGAACTAACTAAAATGGCAAGCAGTCTGCTTCGTTTTGCATTGTTAACAGTCTGTTTCGTGTTTGTTTGTTTGTTTGTTTCTTGTGTTGGTTTGGGTTTTTGTTTGCTTGGTTGGCGTTTTGTTTCATTTCGTTTTTGTTTTGTTTTGTTTTCGTAGGCATGGCAGTTTCTTGGTATAACCCAGGCAGAGAATGAAAATGAACAAGCAGCCATTGTCGCCCTCCAGAGGTAGATGAAGCTAAGTGCAAAATTGTGGGCCTGGGGGACAGGTGGAACTTAACCTCTGGGCTCTTGCTCCAAGAGGAGAGGGAAGCATTTGTCCAAGGCCTGTGCTGGAATGCCGTGTTCCGCTCCCACATAGCTCTGATGGGATAGTTTCCCAAACCATAAAGCTTCTCCATTTACAAATCAATTCACGTTCTCTAGAACCAAAAAAAGTCTGTGTTAAAAGCAATCAGAAGTCAGACTCATTGAATCGATAGACTTCCAATGCTCTAGCCTTTCACAACTCCAGAAGTTTTCTTCAGGAAAGAATGCATTCAAATTACTGACTGCAGGTGGAGATTGCTTAGGTTGGAGGAGGGACAGAGTGTAGACTCGCCCACTCAACAAGAGCCCTCATTCAAACCCTTGGATAAAATAGTTTCCACCAGACATACGTGCACACTTCATGGGTTTCTTGTTAATGTAATATAGAAAGGAAGAGAATACACACATGCACATATGCTCCACAAATTATATACCAATGTGTACAGCTTGTGCGTGTGTAAATTCTAGAACTTCCAAATTGTAGAATATAAGATCCTACGTAGTTGAAGGCTTTACATTCCCAGAATCCTACGTCTCAAGACTTGGTTGGTATCACAATCAGCTCACAATATAAGCTGATTGGGGTGTTGCCTGAGAGCCATTTCCTGTAGCCAAGAGACACTGGGAGTTAGGGAAGGCCAAGGCCTCATGGATCATGTGCAAGAGAGACAGGATTTGAACCCCCATCCCATGATGCAAAAATCTAGCACACTCTGAGTCAGTTGCTCCTAACTCTGCATGCAAATGCACAACGGGATTCTTTTTTAAGATGCCTTAGAGTCTGAGTCCTGGACACTCTCAGAAATCATGATTTACTTGGTTAGGACTGAGGAAGCATGCATCGTTAGCAGTAGAATCTTCCAGGGGTTCTGAAGCACACTCAGGGTTCGCTGTTGCCTTTCAGAACTTGCTGCTCCAAGCTGTAGGCGGATCCTACCAGGGTGTGCATCGTCTGGGAGCTTGTCGGACCCCCCACGTGAGGTCCCACTGCAGCCCCCAGCGCTAGAATGTGTGTAGTGCAAAGTCCCTCTTCTGCACTTTTAAATTTGGAAAGTCGTGCCGGAGGCCAGTAGAAGGGAACTCGGGGGGCAACAATAGCCTGAGACACGTACAAGCCTGCGTTAGTAGTCTAGAAACAGAGTCCCCTCTCTTTTGCAAAACATAGTACAGCCACTTTTTAAATCTCTGTGCATCAACATTTTGTCCAAGTCCAGCTTAGGGGAGTTAAGATAATAGAGTCACAGTTAAATAATATTCTCTCTTTATCATATAGCAGCCACACTTGAGCAAAATTTATTAAAGTTATCAAAAGCAGATCTGGAAAAGTAGGCTAAGTGTTTAACAGCACTGGCTGCTCCTGCAAAGGACCTTGGTTCATCTCCCAGCATCTACATGGTAGTTCACTGTTGGGGACTGCAGACCCCCAGACCCTGCAGCTGCTCTGAGCACGAGACCTTGATGGCAGGGGAGTGGGTTCTGATGAGTCTGCAGCTGAAAGAGACTGAGAGCTGGGGGGTGGCCAAAGCCCTATATAAGCTGCCCCTGAGCACAATAAAGTGGGCCTTCTTGGCATTTTTATATTAAGGATGACCCGTGTCCCCGTGTCTCTGTCTGTCTGTGTGCGTGTGTTTTTAAGTCTCCAGCCCAGTTCCTGGCTCGCGTACCGTCCCATAGTGCAGGTGCTACAGCTCACAACCATTTGTAAACTCCATTTCCAGGGGATCCAGTCCCTCTCCTGACCTCCCTGTGTACCAGGCTCAAACGTGGCACATAGATATACATGCAGGCAAAACCCTCACATAAGATAAAATAAGCCTTTTTAAAACACAAAGTTACAAATCCAGCTGTCATGAGGATGGTTTAGCCTCTCTAAAAACCACACTCTTTTGATCTGGGTTCTCATTTGGAGAAATAAAGTACTTTCCAGTGACTTGACATAATTTAACGTTTGCAACTCTTAATTGATAATTTGAATTAATAAAGGCTTCAGGGCGGCATGACTGATCTGTTTTGTCTTCTCTTGAGGTGTCTGGAGTTGCAGCCCAACAATTTGAAAGCTCTGATGGCTTTGGCTGTGAGTTACACCAACACCGGCCATCAGCAGGACGCCTGCGAGGCTCTGAAGAACTGGGTTAGGCAGAACCCAAAGTACAAATACCTTGTGAAGAACAAGAGGAGCTCTCCAGGCCTCACTCGACGGATGTCTAAGTCCCCAGTGGACAGGTTGTCCTCATTCTATGTAGAATCCTGTTACTATGACAAAATACCTGGGGTCAGCAATTTATAAAGAGGAAAGGTTCCTTTGAGCTGGCATTTTTAAAGGGTTAGACGATGGCCAATTAGCCTGGTGTTTTAAGAACTATGGTGGGACATACATCAAAGTAAAGGCATGTGGTCGAGGAGGTAGGTCACCTCATGGTGGCTGGGAAAATGAAGGGATAGCAAGATTCCCTATATCTCCTTCCAGCCCTGCTTCCATGACCTGATTTTCTTCCACCAGGCCTCCACTTTCCAAAGGTTCTACCGCCTTCCCATAGCACCGCAGACTGGACTTTTTGAGGGTACACATATCTAAACTCAAGATGCTGTCCTTTAAACATAATGGCCTGCTTTGTGGCCATTCTTAGACCTTTACCCATATTTCATATTTCAAATTCAGGTGCTTTGGAATTAATGCCAATACCCTGAGAATTAGGGTTGAATACACCTAAGTCCCTTGTTAGAGTAAATCTGAATTGAATCTCATTGAATCCTTGGTCAGTTCAGCTTCAAGGATGGAACACTAGGTCAACGGTGCTCTCCCATGGCTTGCATATGTGTCTTGCTGTGTATTTGTGATGACTGATTTGACTGTGTTGTTTTTATAATCCGGTATTAGTAATCCTCTCATGAACCTAAAATATATATCAATTAATTTTTAAAAATTTTATGCATCTGGGCATTTTGCCTGAATGTAGATACGTGTACCCTATGCGTGCCTGGTACCTGCAGAGATCAAAAGAGGGTGTTGATACCCGGAACTGGAGTTACAGGCCATTGTTAGCCACATGTGGGGGCTGGGAATCAAAACCAGGTCCTACACAAGGGTAATAAGTGCTCTTAGATACTGAGCTGTCGCTCTAGTCCCTAAATTATTTTAAGGAAAACTTTTCAATATGGGGCAAGAGGAGTGGCTTAGCAGTTAAGAGACCATAGTTCTCTTTCAAAGAACCCAAGTTCAGTTCCCAGCAGCCATACCAAACACCACACAACCACCTGTAGTTCTGGCTCCAAGTGATCCAACTTCCTAGACACTGAATCAGATTCTTCCTTCATAGCTCTGTTCTGGAAGGAGTGAAGGAACTCTACCTGGAAGCTGCCCACCAAAATGGTGACGTGATAGACCCGGACCTGCAGACAGGTCTTGGGGTTCTCTTCCACCTGAGCGGGGAGTTCAACAGAGCAATTGATGCATTTAATGCTGCCTTAACTGTTCGGCCAGAGGTAAGGAATCCCAGCACAACAAAACACCCTGGGGATGGGGAGTGGGGTTGTAGCAAACAAACTTTCAGGGGTGGTCCTTGGCACATTCCTTCTTCATTTTATCTCTGCCTCTGGTGAGTTCAAGGACAGATGACAGGCCACTGCAGCTGTCCGTTCCAAAATGCCTGAAATGAAAGTGTGAATTACAAGACATCCTGTGACCGCTGCTCTGTAAGGAATGACAGTCCTTTTCACCACGTGAACCAGGGAGGCATTTTAATAATTCGCCTCTGTACAGACCATGTTCATGAGCCCTGACTGAGCCTTCAGCCATCTCGCTTCAGCTGTAAAGCGGAGAGGTGGGAGCACTCCACAGTGCTCCTGGGTATTAAGTGACTCCTGTCTTTGTTTTAAGGATTACTCCTTGTGGAACCGTCTTGGGGCAACGCTGGCGAATGGAGACCGCAGTGAGGAGGCTGTGGAGGCCTACACGAGAGCCCTGGAGATCCAGCCAGGCTTCATCCGGTCCAGATACAACCTGGGGATCAGCTGCATCAACCTGGGTGCCTACAGGTGAAGTATGCCTGGGTTCAGACAGGTTACTTGGAGCTAACACCCATGTACGTCTGTATGAACTATTAATAGTCCAACATTTAATTTTTCCATTTAAGGAAAAAAAGAATCTTGGAGAGAGACAAAGCCAGGGGGGATTCATAAAAACAGCCTTGGGAGGCTCAGAGCTGTGTTGGGCAAAGCCAAGCCAAGAAGCTAGTCTAAACCTGATGCACAGATAGAATTAGTTAGGGAAGAAAAAAATATGGTGGATCTATCGTTTAAAATACAATAAAGTTAGGGAGGACGAAATTAAATGATGGCTTATTGTTTGAAATGCCCTGGTACAGTTATGGGTCCAAAAAGCCGCAAAGCCACTGAAGATCCTGGAGCTCACCTGTCCCCACCCCCAAAGCCCGTTCTCAGGATGCCTTTGTACCTCCGACAAATGCTGAAAATGCCAAAGCCTTGAGCTAATGTGAGCTTTACCTATCAATACTTGTGGTGTCAGAAATTAAACGAAAGCATTTTAAGAGATTCGCTGGAAAGTAATAGAACATTGCATAGCAATAAAGATGGTGTGCGTTACAAGAAAATAGCCACTTTCCAAACCCAAACTGTACCAGGAAAGAAGAGTGCTAGCCGTGTGTTGGAGAATTCCTGTACTATCTTGCTCCCTAGAGCCTGTTTCTTTCTGCTTTTGTATTCCGTCTGTTGTTCTGCCTCACGGACATCCCCAGGCAGTAGTAGGTGAGGTGAGCAGCTTGAGGAGGTTAAAGTGAAGAAGGTCACCAGCCTCTCAGTTTACTAATGAAAATCATTTGCCCGCACAAGCCCCAGGCTCCCCAGACCACACGGGAGAACGATTGATCTTAACCATAAGAGCTTTTACATGAATTGACTCCAGGGTACTTTGCAGCCAAATCCTAAAATGCCTCCTGCTATCCCCATTATTCCCTTAGGGACTGAAGTCCTCCTAAGAAATTTGCCTAAGGCTAAACAGCTGGGAGTGAAGGCCAGCCAGTCTAACCAGGAAGCTTAGCTCTTTATTTCTGTCACTACCAGGCAAGCCTAGACCACCTTGCTTTTAAGGAGGGCCATTGTCTCCCCTTAAAGACAGGTGGCAAAGATCACATCTGCACACAGATAGCATCTCCAGGCCAATTCCCTGAGCAGAGGAAATGCATCAAAGTAGTCTCCCTCCTCTCTTCTCCCAAAGTAAAGCAGAGGTTCCTGTTCCCTGTCTGACCTACTATATTTAACAATAATTGTTCACAAGAGAGAAACTAGAGAACCTGAAAATCATCCCTGGGAGCCCCTCGCCCTCGAGAAGAGACCTAGGGCGGGGCGGGGAAGCAACTCTGTTTATTTTAGTGCGCTGACTCCTGCGTTCACTGAGTCTTAAGCTGTGCCTTCCTCCCTCTTTAGAGAAGCGGTCAGCAATTTTCTCACCGCCCTCAGTTTGCAAAGGAAGAGCAGGAACCAGCAGCAAGTCCCTCACCCTGCCATCTCGGGAAACATCTGGGCTGCCCTCAGAATTGCACTGTCGCTGATGGACCAGCCAGAACTCTTCCAGGCAGCCAACCTCGGTGACTTGGATGTCCTCCTGAGAGCTTTCAATTTGGATCCTTAAAGGAAAAGAAAGAAATACAGAATCCCTCGTCTGTTGTTATACTAAAAAGGGACAAAACTATTTTATTATGAATTTCAAAAAAAAAAAAAAAGTTGTGTTTTTTTTAAAGGATAAAGCAGAGAGTCAAAAGGCCGTGGTCATGTGGCCCAAGAGAACTGATTACTACAGACAATACCCGGCCTCTGTTCAGACTCAAAAGCACAAAGCCAAGGTCGGGTTCAAGAGACGAACCAAGATTCTCATGACAAAGAAAGATAAGGTAACTGTGTACACTCTTCCAAGTTACCAGTGAACTTTGAGTTATCCTGAGTTATCCTATCCCCAGCCACACGGGGACACATCTGAGGAGCCTGTTCATGGGACCTGGCAAGACAGTTTGTCTGCAGTCAGTGAACTCAGGCTGTCTCAAAACTGTCTTTGCCTTTTATGAAACTGAACATATAGTCCAGGCCATTGGCGCATGCACACATGCAACCTGACTAAAGGCAGGCGTCGCTCCCCCACCTCCCTGTTTTAACTTTTTAAGCCTTTGTTTCCAGAGAGAGAGAGAGAGAGAACTCTGCTGGCAAAAGCAGTTTTTGCACTAGACATTTTGCTGTTCCCAATGAAATCCTGTCTAGGATTGTACATAAGCACTTTAATATCTTATTTATGCCTTGCTGAGCTTCGGGTTTGTTGCTCCAGCTTCTACCGGGGGGGGGGGAGGCAGGGGCTGGAGGATTTGAGACAGATTTGTTAGCTCAATGGACCAAATAAAAAATTCTGAGAGGAGTTTTTCTTAGCGCAGGGTTTTGAAGGCACCTTGGCATAGAATGTAAATATGTTAAACCCAGGTTTTTTTGCTTGCTTTCTGGGACTCTGGATCTCAGTGGGAAGCAAAATTCTGCCTCTGCATTCTCCCTGCAGAAGGAAGGTCGGCTTTCTGTGATTTCTAATGAGTTTGTGTTAACTTGTTTTCATACCCGTTTTCCGGCTTTCTAACCGCCCTGCACAATGGCGCTCCCTTTAAACTGTCCCTGTTTTAAATGGCATTTCTTAAGCGTGATAAATACATTTTTCCTAAAGTTGATGTGTTTCCTCAGTTCCATGATAGCCCACACTGTCCACCTCCTCAAGCTGTGAGGGACAGAAGGTCACATTTGTGACCGAGCTGTGCTGATTAGAATTCTCCTCTGAAGGAGGTGCCCCTTGGGATCTAATTTAAACACTCGGCAAGAGCCAGGCCTTCGCCATCGGCAGAGACGTCTTGCTTAGCTGTTAACCTTCCACATACGTCTTCAGATTACACTGTGGATGTTCAGGCTTGGTGGTTATTTAAAAAGAAGTAGAAAAATGTTGGCAAAACGCTAACCAAAACATCATTTTGCTCGGCTCTAACTCTAGTAAGCCGCCCTAGTCTCTGTCGCCTTGTGCCTTCCCATCTCCAGAATCTTCCTAAAAGCAGCCTGGTCCCAACTTTTTTCATGCTCTTTGCTTACTAATAACTCTCTCCGCTAATACTTGTAGTTACCAGAAACCATATTTTGGGTCAGAGCAGATTAACTGACCGTGAAATTACCTACTCCTGATGGAAAATGTGCCCAGAGGCTTACTGAGACCACTCCATCACCGTGGAGTCCCTGGATTGTGAAAGACATGAAGTTCACAGGTGACTACAAGTCCTTGAGGCTTGTCTGTCACACGAGCTTTCTGTCTTATAAGGACAAGCTGATGAGACCACTGTAGGTGTCAGGCTTCGCTCTTCATTGTCAGTGTTCCCTAAGATGGAGCGGTGGCCCCAGCTCTGCAGCAGGACACAGGCATTAATGCATCCACTGCGGGGCACGGCAACAACTCACGCTAGCCTTTAACAGCTGAGCCATCTCTCCATCTCGGGCCCATGCTTTCTGTTGGTCTGTGCAGCAAAGCAAAGCTCAGATGTATTTAGAAGAGCAGATTTTCTGGACCAGGGGTTCTCAACTCCTAGGTCGTGGCCCCTTTGGCAAACTTCTGTCTCCAAAAATATTTACATTATGATTCATAAGAGTAGCAAACTTACAGTTATAAAGTAACAACAAAATAATTTTTGGGGGGGGGAGTCACCACAACATGAGGAACTATATTAAAGGGTTACAGCATTAGGAAGGTTGAGAACCGCTGCTCTAGACTGTTAAAAACAGACAACGAAGACCTCTTTGAGCCAGACGAGACCATGGCATGGCCTGCTTGAACGTTGCTGACAGTGTAGTGACCATTCCTGCCTGCTTCCTCACTCCAAATGTCACCTACTGGACACCTGGTTTGAATCCCTCGGAGACCCTTCCCAGCTTGTTCAAAGCAACCTTCCTGGTCATTCTGTTCATGCTGTTCTCCCAGGCCCTCAGCAGCCCCTGATCTGGCCAGGATAAAGACCCACTACCCGCTCAGACCAGTCACCACTTCCCACAGGAGCTCGGGCTCAGCCTGCCTAGTGCAAAGGTGGGAAGTTTTATTTCATTTGATCGTTGCTAAGTGGTGTCACACACTGTGGCCCAAGTTTATTTAACAGGAATACCAAGTAGCTTCCAAGTCCAGGAAGTTATTTTAGGGGACAGCTGACAGTTTTCCACTTCACCATTATGTAGCATTTTGTAGGACATCTGATGGGACTTTCTCCACTTCCCTAGTTCTATCCATCACAATTAAGATTGTCAGGGAGATCAAAATAATTGCCTAAGAGGGAAAGAGTTGCAACGTCCAGTGCTATCGTAATGAGAGTAAGTAAAAACCAATAACTAAAAAGTAAGACATTGTATAAATAGAGCCATAGCAGACATTAAGGAGTGAGGCTTTAGTGTCTTCCTCATGGTGTCTGCATCTTTTCGTCATCTGCTTTCAAAATGCAGAACTGTTGCAGGATTTTCACGGCAAGAAATTGCCTTTTCTCTTTCTGTTTGAAGAACTAGGGCATTCTTTTGAGGCACTGGGGAGGACCCTAAGGGCAGGACTCATTCACAGGATGGAAAGGACCCTAAGGATGGGACTTCTTCACAGGATGGCGAGGACACAAGGATGAGACTCCTTCATACAGTGGCCTCTCAGTAGCTTCCAGGGACCCGTTTTGCCAGTAAATTGGATGAAAATGCAGAGAAAACCATTTGAAACCACTGCTGAGTTTCAAAATGTTACAGGTTTTGGTAGAACATCTGCATGCAAAAAAAGAGGCATAATAAAGAGGGGCCAGGGGCGTAGCTCCGTGAGCACAGTGCACCCCGGAACCACGGAAGCCGACTATGGTGGTAACAGCTGCAATCCTGGCACTTGGGAAATGGAACCAAGGCATTCAGGAGATTACGGTCATCGTGGGCTCCAGGAGACCCTGTACAGATGAGGAGCAAAGGACCTCCTAGCCAAGTCAGCCTCGCTGATTCTGCGTTCTCTGTGTTTCGTCCTGACACCCTTCCCCTCAACCCACCAGAAACTTTAATAACTAACAATGAAGTGCACTTCCTCAGCCAGTCGGATGTCTGCCAGAACGGGCGCGTCCAGAATACACTCACTCCCAGACTTACATGTCGTTTTTATTTATACTGAGAGATCATGCCGACTTTTAGAACAATATCCAAATTCTTTTATCTATAAATCGTTCTGGAATATTCTTGCCATATGGGCAAGGTGTGACTGTAATTGCACTCATCTCATAGTTCCCAAACCTCTTAGCATAAAGTTTATCTGTGCACTCCTGGGGGGACCAAAAGAAAGAGGGTGGTCACTGTATGTCCTCATTTGTCTCTGAACTGCTTCCACAAGGTTGAATTGCTCCTACCTAAGTGTCGTGACGTTGATTTATTTCCTATACTGACAAGCTTCTAGAAGCAGTCTAGAAAACAGGTATTTGGAAGATTTAATTCTTGTGCCATCTTTCTGAGACTTCTTATTTTGAAAATGGAGACACAGGCAACACCCATGACTTCAACCTTGTAACATAGCTTCCAACTGTTTCCCCATGCAAATGATCCTGCACAATGCCCTTCTCACCTCACTATTTATAGGACTGGCTGAATTAAGCTGTTTTGAACTAAGAAGTAGATACATATATTTTTAAAGAGTGTTCATAGACAAACTCTGGCATAACGTTTGTAAAAAGGCAATTTTTAAAAAGCAAAACATATAACCTCAGGTACAAAACTACTGCATGCATCAGTACTTACAATCTGCCTATGACTATTAACCAAAGCATGCAAGATCCTTTCACTGAATGTAAACCGGCCCACTCTCCCCATGCATGACTGGTGTCATAGGCTGGCTGGCCTTCCCACCCTTCTCAACAAGCAGGCACTTCCCAATGTCCCAGTATTTTTTTATTGGCTTTTTCCATCTCATCCTTAGATGCCAGTCATCACATTGACACTGACCGATGCTCACAGACTGGCTCAAACCCGGTGACTGCCAGTCCCAGGCCAGTCATCTGAGGGACCCAGGTACAGACCTGTGTCCTTGAAAACCCATGTGAAGCCTGACAGAGCTAAACCTGTGACCAGGCCGTGCAATTGTCTCTGCACAAAAAGCCTTGAGTTCTGAATTCTTAATAATGTGTTTCAAGTTTAGGGAAAAAAAATAAGAAACATTGGGATTCGAAATTACGCAAGAAAGTTGGAGTGCCGTCGAACACGTGGAGATTGCCCTAGGCGAAGTGGGCTAGTGTGTCAGAGGAGCATGTAGGCTATTATTCTATTTGCAAGGTCAGGGTTCCTCTCCCTTGGGAAACTAGACTTAATCAACCTGACCAAAAGCACTCAAATTCAGGAATAGGAGATGACTTTATGGCCAACGTCTTCTCTCTGTTGTTTACTAAAACGCCAGGTTTATGAAAAGGCTAGGAAAGGAGAGGATGAAGCTCAGGTTAGTGGGGCTGGCGGTGGCGACGTAGCCCTGATGGTATAGGGCTTGTCTCCCATGCTCCTCCAGAGCACTACACTGCTCGTGGTGGCACACATCTATAATCCCAGCAAGTGAGAGGTGGGGGCAGGAAAATCAGGAATTCAAGGTTATTCTTGGCCATATAAAGTTCAAGGCCATCCTGTGCTGTGTTAAGACACACTCTGGAAAATTTAAAAAGACCGTTCTTTTGGTCATATGTGAAGAACAACTTTTTGACCCTTTCATAATTCCCTGTGCCCTTCCGCACACAAACCCAGAGTCTAAACTATTCTTCCCCCATGCAGAGAAAGGCCAAGGTGTGGAGACAACACACAGTTAAGAGGAAAGCAATAGGAAATCCAAGTGTGAGGCTTAATAGTTTCTCACGCTGCACACAGCTGCTGCAAATGCTGCAAAGATACCAAATAAAATGCTCTGGAAACTAGTGCCCCAGCCTCAGGACCTCCTGAGCTAGGAAGCGGGTAGCTGAGCATCCCTTAGCAAGACAGATGTGCATCACTGAGGTTGTTTCTGCCCTCCCTGTGAATTGATGGGAGCAGGAAATGAAATGCACAGAGTAGTTCACGTGGATATCTGCCCTCTTCACCGAGACACATGACTCTCTCACAAGGCTTCGGGAAGGATTGTGCCATGTGATCAGTGAGTTCATGACCTGCTATGTTCCCATCGGTGAAGACACAGTCTAAATTACCAGTCTTTCTTTTCTCCCATCCATCATCTGACCCCAGCCCTCCTCCATTTTCATTACCCAAATTTGTTTACATCAGTTGAACAAAATAACTGATCAATTCAGTAAACTTTTTACAACCTATACGAAGCATTTACTAACTATTTAGAAACATTTCTATCTATTTTGTATATCTATGAATACTGCATATCTAGCCTAACCTAAAAATCGTGTTTTAAGAGAAGTGCCAGGATGCTTTCCTTATTGTGCTCAAAACCTTTAAATCTGGGGATTTTATTTTCAAGCTGACATAGGTAACAGAGAAAAACTTAACTTTAAATGTTTACACTGAATTTCTAAATTAATATCAACCCCAAATTAAGTGATCTATAGTCAACTAACAGCAATGGGGGATTGACTATTATAACATTTGCCATATTATAACATTTCTGTGGCATAGTGAGTAACACGCGGCCTACTCGGCCATGTAGTAAGTCTTTGTCATAGTCTTTCTCTGCATTGCCTTTTGAAATAAAACTATCATAAAAAATAATCACTTTATCCTACTGATGTGCTAATTCACTCAGATGACTTATAATTTGCAAATACCAAGCTTGAGGTAGTATGTTTATACTTTATTGAAGGCATGCCTTCCTTTTTCATATTGTTAACCTGTATTGACATTCGCGCGGTTTTAAACTATGTTTCCAAATAAACTTTGTCCGTGGCTTCATGGTCTTTTCAGAACTCTCTCAAGATGGGATTTAGGGTCAGAACCACTTAAAGCCAAGGAGAAACCAAGCACTACTGGTTTAGAAGAAGTCCTTCCATTGAGTAGCTCTACATAGAATTTTGCATGAATTATCTGGAAAGCAGGAATGCATCTGTAGATGAACAACAAACCTTGAAAACTGTTTCCTTTGCTAATTTTCTAAGACTAAAATATTAATCTAAAATTGAAATTTGTGATCTTTTTAAAATAAAGCATTAAAATATGTGTCACTTCAGGGTCTTTCTTAGAGGGCCAGTCAGACAGGAAGCAAGCTGAATGCTGCAGGTTCCACTGCAGTGTAAGCCACACCTAGACCCTAACCAGAAGGCGGCACGGGTGCCAAGAGGGAGAATGGGCAGCGAGGCATTAGGGCCTTGTTTCCAGGTGATCAGAGAACAGGAGACATGCGGGCTGCCATTCAAACCTCCAGCAAACTGGAGGGGGAGTCAGCGTTCCTGGGATCACCAACTAGTGCACCAAGGTGCCAATGAAATCACTGTGAGCTATGAACAGAGGAGGCCAAGGCAGAAGGGTCGGAAGCAAGGAAGTTTAAGAGATGTCCAATGGGGTGGAGGATCCAGGGAGAACTCAAAGCAGGGCAAAGGGAAGAGCTCCCCATCCCACCCGGTTCCCCCAGCCCTAAAGTCTGTTTCACCTGGTTAGGTTGACAGTAAAGGTAGCCACATACATGGGGCCAGGACTGGAGCTCACACCTCCCCTTCGC